AGTTTGGGGGGTTTAGGCTTTGGAGTTTTAGTAGGGTTTAGGCTTTAGGGTTTAGGGCTTAGGGTTTAGGGTTTAGGGTGTTCCTGCGACGCACAGTCGGGGTTCAGGGTCTTGGGAATGTAAGGGCTGTTGGGGGGAAAGGCGTCAAAGGGTGCAGGATGCATTCCGGGGGTAAGCATTCCAAACGCCCCAAAACCGAAGCCTCGAGCCCTGACTCCTTCCTGAGGACGCGGTTTCCTCCAAAGCCCCCTCGAAAGAGACGGTCCGAGGGTGTTAGGTTCAGGGTCTGAGGTTCAAGTTTGGGGGGGCGGTTGCTTCCAAAGGCTCTGACCGCACCAGAACACCCAGAAGACACCCGCTACCTTACGGCCTCCAAGCCAGCATCAACCTTCCTGGAGTCGTTACGTTGTCTTGACATGGGACCCCTTAAATACCCTTTATATATCCTCTACAACCCGAGGGCCCATACATCAGAACCCTTTAAAGAGGGCAAGGAAACAACTAAGGGACCATGACTATGTAACTGCCCCAAGAAACCTACAAGCCCACACCCTTTGCCCTAACCTGTTTAGGGTTTAGGGTTTAGGGTTTAGGGTTTAGGGTTTAGGGTTTAGGGTTTAGGGTTTAGGGTTTAGGGTTTAGGGTGTATAACCCGCACTTGGCAGCCCAGTACGTAACCAGCTTACATTGAGGGTACTTTTCTTGGTTGGCTACTTTATAAGGGAACCTTGAACCCAAAAAAAGGAACAAGGAAAAGGGCACCATTGAGCTACCAACCCTGAACCCTAAACCCTAAATCCTAAACCCTAAAGCCTAAACCCTAAACCCTCCAATACCAACCCTGAACCATCTCCGACAAATCCCGGCTGCGCTCCCAAAGCCAATATTGGTGCCACGACCACGAGAGGCCTGTAGCTAGTTTTTTTGTGTGGCTCTCATGAGACGATGCTCATATTGTATATTTGGCGATGGTTGTTTTTCTTGCCATGAATAGGCATCTATGATTATATGCTATCTGTCAATATCTCGGGTCATCTTTTAACGCTATGTATCTATCATTACATGTTATTCCGTCTTGCTGCAGATTAATATGTATCTAGTTATACCATCATACACGAAAAAACGACATTGTATTGTTACACACCATTCTGCTTACGAAAATGGTGTTATATTGCTACTCTTCTACATTATGATATCTAGTTATATGTGTTACTGTATATGGCTAAATAATATGACACCTTGTGATATAGTGTCTATTCCATACCGACAACATGAGGTATATCACGATCTTACTTTCATATAGATAGACCATAGAGTCAGTATGGTTTTGTTATCGCTATTATAACTGTTGTTATTGTCATTATTGTTATCATTCCTGTTACGATTGTTGCTGTTGCTATGTGTGTTATGGTTGTTAGTGTTGTGATAATTGTCATTGTTGCTGCTATTGTTCTTCTTGCTAGTATTTTCAGTGATATTGTTTATTGTTCTTATTGTTGTTAGTATAACTTTTGTAGGATCTTGAAGATATTATTACACAAACTTAGTGCACCTCTACAACACTTTCAGGTTGTCAGGTGTCTAGGGAAGAGATTGGACAGGTAAAGACATTTTTGCATAAAGATCTTGCAGGTATCCGGGACAATCTCTGCAGGCACACTTGCCGCAACGTTATCAATTAGCTGGAATGGGTGCTTTCCTACTGCTGCAGGAGAGGGAGCAGCAGTCTAGAGAATCTAAAGTCTTACGGAGCGGTCGTATCTTAGGGCACCAGAGCCCCAGAAACCAGCTGCGGAGTCCTGAGTGTTTTTGTGCGGGATCCTCACGTGGGTTTGCGTTTTCCTTCAGCATTCCCTTGGTTTTTGGCACGCACTTAAAGATCCTGCAAAATGCTGTTCGCTTGTGTTTTACTCACCACATAAAGATCCTTCTTTTTTTCTGCCAAGAATCCCCTGCTTAGTGGTGATGCAATTAAGGCACGACACCTACGGAATGCCCACTGGGCAGTCATGACACCCCTAAAATGAGCCCGACACACTAGCAAGAGATGCCCATGCTCGCATGTAGATGAGATAGCTCCTTCCTGGAAAGGCTGGATGATGGTGGGCGCAGATCCCCGGTGATAGGATCTTTATGTTTATGTGGCCTGTTTGTCCCCCAGTGTAGGCTTCGTAAGGTTGAAGATTTAGCTTCTGCACGTCTTAGTACGTCTTGGTATGTGCAGGCTGCATGCAGCTGACCTCCTGCGTCTGACTGTTGCTAGCATTCTGCAACATGAACCCTCTGTCGTCAGTTGCCAGCTTTTCGCAGCAAGAGCCCTGTGTCGTAAGTTGTGCTTGTGATGGCGCTGAGCACCCTTTCTAACCAGTTCTCACTACAAACGGTGGCTGATGATGACCGCACCCGCCCCCCCCCCCCCCCCCCCCCCCCGGACGTCACGCCTGAGACGCTCGTCGTCAAAGCGGACTCGGCTGGTCGTGTACACCTGCGGTACACAGGCGCCTACTTCAACCCTGCTGCCGTTTGGTATTAGTTTAGGGTTTACAGTTCCATGATAAACTACCCTAAACCCTAAACCCTAAACCCTAAACCCTAAACCCTAAACCCTAAACCCTAGACCTTTCCAGCATCTCCTCCTTGAACCCATGCTAGGTGAAGAACATGCCCCTCAGGACCGCAACACCAAACATGCCATGGCTTCCGAGCACGAAGGCATCTACCCAGAAAGACCAGGACCGCTCTTTTCTACTAAGGCATATACCTAAAAATTTAGAGGTCCTCATTACCCTACATGTAAACCCTACACCCTAAACCCTAAACCCTCGGGTAGATTCCTGAATTCAGGGGCGCGGGATCTTTGGGTGTGTCGTTCCTAAAAACCGTTGTTGGGCCCTGATGGGTATGTAAACAAGACCCGGGAGTAACCTAGGGAAAAAAAGGGTACCCTTTTTGGTTTTTTAAGGGGATTATAAGGGAACCCCACCTCTAAAAAAGAAAAAAAGGGCCTACTCCCGGTCCTAGTAAACCATAAAAGGGCGGTGGCCTCTCTGGGTAGCAGACCATTCAACAAGTCCCAAAGGAGGCTGCTTTCAATGCTGCCTATGGTCTAACCCTCAACTGGATTTACGGTTTAGGGTTATGTCAAAGGCAGCAAACCAACACAAAGTGCTGCGCAGCGGCCGGTTTCTGACGCGGTCTGCCTTTGTGGGACTTGTAAGTCCGTGAGCCAAGAGCCCGAAACTGAAATGCCAAACTGCGTTCCTGCCATCCAGCTTGTGATGAGTACTGCCGCGGGAGAAGAGACAGACATTTGCAGCCGTCTGCATCATTTAAGCACGGTCAGGCTCTGCCAGAGCCCGTAACAAGCTGGTGCCTGAAGCCATCGACGACGCGAGAGCTGGCGATGCTGCGAAGAATCGGGATCACGCGAGTGATCGATGCGCGCTTGCGGAGCGTGACCCCTTAAACCCTAGACCCTAGACCCTAAACCCTAAACCCTAAACCCTAAACCCTAAACCTTCTCGCTGACTGGCCCTCTGAGGCTTGCATGGCGTACGAGCGTGAGCCAACTCTCGGCAACAAGAGAGCACTTGGAGGTCCATGGTACTTACTAACCATAGAGGGGTTATCCCACTTATAAGTAGGGTTCTAAGCCCAGTTATAATTGGTTAGTAAGTACCATGAACCTCCAAGCAGGAGTGCTCGCGCCACCCTCCACAGCAGCGGGCACTGAGGCCCTTCTTGGAGGTTCGCGGTACTTAGTAACTGATTATAACTGTACTTACATAACCCACTTATAAGCCCCTTAAGTGCCCTATATGGTTGTAAGTACAGTTAGAAGTACAGTTCTAATTAGACCCTGAACCTCCAAGTTCAACAAGTGCCGAAGGAGGCTGCCTTCAAACCCTACATGCACTTAGGTTTAGGATCTAGGGCCTAGTGCAACTCCCCAGACCCCACATCCCAAAGCCAAAAGCCCCAACCCGTATGTAAAAACCTGCAAAAGGCTCACCCGCACCCCAAAGGCCGCAACACCCCTAACGATGGCCTATGACTCCAAAATGAAGGACTTTTAGGCCGTTATATTAATACGCGGCAGTTCTCTAAGCTTGCTCCTTTATGGGAGCCTGCTTGGGCTGAACCCTAAACCCTAAACCTAAACCCTAAACCCTAAACTCGGAAACCTTAGCCCTAAACCCTAAACCCTAAAACCCTAAACCCTAAATCCTAAACCCTAAACCCTAAACCCTAAACCCAACACAAATCATAAATTTCTCGCACCAGGGAACATGCAGCTACATGTCTCGTCCCTGCCTTCTCAGGGCGCACTTCCCTGCGGCCCTCATCAATGAGCTCGCTGCAAACCTCCCAGCTGTTGGCCAAAGCTAGGGTTAGGGTTTAGGGTTTAGGGTTTAGGGTTTAGGGTTTGGGGTTTAGGGTTTAGGGTTTTGGGATAGGGTTGATAGGGCTGATAGGGTTTTGGGGTTTGCACGTTGGGAGCCCGTAGGGATCAAGGCCCTCATAGGGGTTTGGGCAGTGGGGTCACTTCGTGCAGGCCCTACTTGGAGGTTCATGGTACTTAGTAACTAATTATGACTGTACTTATAACCCACTTAAAGCCCCTCAAGTGCCCTAAGATGGCTATATAAGTACAGCTATAAGTACAGTGATAGCGCTGAACACCGCTATGTGCACTGCTCACAGGCCCTGCCCCACTTCTGAGGGTGGCGCGAGGACAAAACAGCACAAGGGAAGCGCAACCGTGCAACACGTGCGGACAAGCTCATCGGCATCCCGTGGCACATGCTAGCGCGTGCTTGCCCTTGGCGAAACTTAGCAAGGCAACATCCCAGCATCCCTACTTCTGAGGGCGGTGCGAAGATGAGCCGACATAATTGGAGCACAAACAGAGTGCAGTGGACATGTCCGTGATGGCTTGCCACAAGCAACCATGTGCGTGCACCCCCATGGCCAGCGGTCTAGGAAAGCAGTGGATGGGCTCATGGGTCTGCGAGGTGCCTCACGCTGCCGGCAGTCTCCGGCATCCGGCGGAGCACTGCCCTAGCATTCTCGCGCTGCAAAGAAATGGCAAGGGCCTGGTACAGGCGGTCGGCCTCCTGTGATGCCGGCTCCCCGGACCGCAATGCCAGATTGGCTGCCAGCTGCTGCCAGGCACGGACGGCGCATGGGGCCCAGCCCCCACTTGCCTCAACAACCATGGGAATGAACTGCAGGCCTTGCACGGCGCATACAGCCTTGGTGTCCTTGTGCAAGCACTTGCGTGCCTCATAGTCCGCTGCAGGGCGTTCGGCTGCCGCCGCCACAGCTGCGTGCTGGCCCGGTCGCATCCCACAGGTCACGGCGAGGTCGAACGCAGCCGGGCCGTGCAGCCCCCAGCTCGGCACCCAAACATCGGCCGGGCGCCGGCCGTTGCCCGCGCGAGAGCCATCCTCCGAACATCCGGCCTCCCCCAACCGAGGCGGCAGCAAGTCTGGCTTCTCGACTTCCGGGCTGAGGCCCGCGGCCTGAGCACGTGCGGCCAGCAGCGACCGGAGGCGATTGTGGCGCTTCGTGCGATCACCCCCACATGGGCAAGCCCGGGCATGGTCGCCGAACTTGTCAGCAATGCCGTCACATAGAGGGCAAACTGCATCCGATGCGGCTACAGGCAGGCGCAGGCGGAGCCGCACCATGACTCGGAACAGCGGCCCATCCACGTGCAAGCCAAGAGCTTCACTGGGGGGGGCATGTAGCCAGGCGCCTGCGCGAGGTTGCTGAAGTAGCTGCAGGTGGGCACGAAAGGCCTCGCGGCCAGGTGTGGGAGCCCCCAGCCGGATGAGCAGGGCCCGGTCCAGCGCCTGGGACAGCGACTGCTGTTTGGTGGTAGGCGGCGCAGGGACCGGGATCTGATCATCTGGCAAGAGGCACTCGTTGACGCTGGACGCGGCCGCAACAGCTCCAGACGCGGGCCAGTCCTGGCAAAAGTTTTTGTCCAGAGCAGGTGGCTGCACAGCAGCTAGAGAGGCAGCGTAGGCTGCTGGTGCGTGGAGCTGGGCATGTCGCAGGCCCAACCCACCTGAAGCTGTCGAAAGGGATGCCTGCTGCCAAGCCTCCTCTGGCAGAGGCCCAGTGCACAAACTCTCCAGGCACTCGCGGACGGCACTGTCAAATGCCGTGGCAGCAGACCCGAGCAGTTGGGTTGGGGTGACCCGCAGAGCGAAGACAAACTTGCAGAACGAAGCGCAGTGTCTAAGCAAAAGCAACCCAGTCTGGGGGTCGGGGAGCTCGGCGATGGCCCGCAAGAGTGGCCGGGCCTTGTCGACCCGCTCCGCAAGTGTAGCGGCTTCAGTGTAGCGGGCCTGGCCGATAGGGGCGCCAAGAAGAAGGAAATTGCCACTGGCATTGACGCGGATGCCGGCACGGAAGGCACGTGCGTCAACTGACGCGGTCAAACCTCCGCACACAATGAGCTCGCACTTTTGCGGGTTGAGTTGCAGGCCCACCTGACGGGCAGCAGAAACCAACCTGGTCAGTGAGGCAGCCACTGGCTGACAGCCTCCTGCGAGGAAGGCGTCGTCCATAAAGGCAAAAGCAAGTTCGGGGCGGCTTGCTGCCGGGCCAGACTGCGCGGCTTGAAGAGCGGGCTGAAGAGCCAACGCGAACAGCAGCGGGCCCAGCGGGTCCCCCTGCTGGACGCCGACTTCCGAGGTGAGCACTGTGCCGTCAAAAAGGAGCCGGGTGTGGCGGTCGTAGCACCACTCTGCCCACGGAGCCAAACCAGGGAAGTGAAGGCGCACTTGGCGCAGAAGGGCAGCCCTGTCAACAACATTAAAGGCGTTGTGGAAGTCAACCTTTAAGAAGACCTTGTCAACGTGCCCCGCGTTCCTCTGCACCCACTGTCTAGCCGTGTGAACCGCTATAAGTACCAGGTATAATTAGCAACCCTAAACCCTAAACCCTAAACCCTAAACCCTAAACCCTGAACCTCCAAGTAGGACTCACAAAGAAGGGGAAAGGGCCGACTGGGAGATCTGAGATTTGAGGCGTTAGAGTGTTCGGCTCTGAGGCAGGCAGGGCTTAGGTTTTGAGGTTCTTGGGTTTAGGGTTTGGGGCTTAGGGTTTAGGGTCTGGGGTTTGGGGTTTAGGGTTTGGAGTTTGGGCTTTGCGATTTAGGGGCGTCAAGAGGGTGTCCAGTAGCAAGCCGACATTGGCTGACGTTGTGAGGGGTTGAGGCTGATATTTGGGAGCCCCACTTCAGCCTGGGAAATTTGTGTGCCCTCACACGGCCCTACAACCCTAAACCCTAAATCACGCGACTTCGGCACTCTACTCTGCATCCTCAAATAACCCCTGTGCCCTTGTGATACATGTGTTTGTGGGACTAAAGTAAAAACCCGCAAGCCCAGCTGATGTTTCAACAGCTCCCCCCCCTCAAACCCCAAAACCGCCGCCCCCTCAAACCCGGTTAGGCTGTAGGGTTCAGTGAAAGTTTAGTGTTGACGGTATATGGGTTCTAGATTAAAACCTCGATTCAATACAAGCTTTCCCGACAACTATCTGCGCGAAGTGCATCTGGCAAGACGCTGTGAGCTCACGGCTTTGTAGGCTTTCGGGCTAAGAGGACTTATGATCAGAGTTTTGGCAGATCTCGTGTGTGATGTAACGCTGGTGCAGATTGAGGGTAAGCCCTAAACCCTAAACCCTAAACCCTAAACCCTAAACCCTCAACCCTAAACCTAAACCCTAAACCCTAAACCCTAACCCCTAAACCCTAAAACCTAACCCTAAACCCTAAACCCTAAACCTTGCTGCCCACCTTCTTCTCCAGGAAGCCTCTCACGAGCCACACTGGGGGAGAGGACCTTGGGCCCGAATGGTGATCTTCAGGACTGACATTTTGAAGGTTTAGGGTTTAGGGTTTAGGGTTTAGGGTTTAGGGTTTAGGGTTTAGGGTTTAGGGTTTAGGGTTTAGGGTTTAGGGTTTAGGGTTTTAGGGTTTAGGGTTTTAGGGTTCAGGCGCTGAAGGCTTTCTAGAGTCCGAGTCCGGGCTCCAGAGCTGCGGCTGCAGCTTTGGGGTTTAGGGATCAGGGTTTCGGAAGTTTAGGGTTTGCAGGTTTTATGGGTGTTAGGGTTTGGGTTTAGGGTTTAGGGTTTAGGGTTTAGGGTTTAGGGTTTAGGGTTTAGGGTGTATACTGTACCCCCAACCCTAGCACGGGGGCTGGATGTAGGTAAGGGTGCCAAAAAACATTCCAAGAAAAACCAAGGCAAGGACTGGGACATTCGGACTTACAGCAATGGGGCTATAAATCTATTAGCCGCCACTTAGGGAGGTGTACGATCAGGGACCTGTATGGCCAGACCCCCTAAACTTAAATCCTCAACCCTCAACCCTGGACCCTAAAAAAGTCTAAACGCCAAACGCTAAATCCGGAACCCTGAACCCTAAACCCAGAACCCAAAACCCTGAACCCTATATATAAACCTATAAACCTTATCAACCCTATAAACCCTATAAACCCTATAAGCCCTATCAACCCTATAAACCCTGTAAACCCTCAAAACCCTATAAACCGTATAAACCCTAAACCCCCTAAATTAACCTTAAGCCCTAAACCCTAATTAAACCCTAAACCCCAGACCCTAAACCCCCTAAACTAACCCTAAGCCCTTTAAACCCTATAAGCCCTATAAACCCAAAAAAGAAACCCAAAACCCCAAAAACCCTAAACCCAAAACCCTAAACCCTAAACCCTACCGGACTCCAAGGCTTAGCACCCGGCCGCAGCTGCGTCACTTCCGCGCCCAAGGCAGCGAAGTGAAGGGCCGGGTAGGGCTTGCCTTCCCCTGGGCTGTCATGGGGTTTAGGGTTTAGGGTTTAGGGTTTTTGGTTTAGGGTTTAGGGTTTAGGGTTTAGGGTTTAGGGTTTAGGGTTTAGGGTTTAGGGTTTAGGGTGTAGGGTTTAGACTTAGGTCTTTAGGTGTTTAGACTTTAGGGTTGAGGCGTTTGAGGGTTAGGGTCTTGAGGCTTGAGGTTTAGGGTTTAGGAGCTTGAGGTTTGGGGTTTAGCGTTGGGGTTGATCAGGTTTATGGGGTTTACATGCGGGTTACGGGTTCTGGGTTTAGGGTTTACAGGGTTTAGGTTGTTTAAGGTTTCTGGTAGAGGGTTTGAGGTTGCGGGTGCACATGGGTTTAAATGGTCATGGGAGGGTTTAGGGTTTCTGTCCCTAAGCCCTAAACGGAATGTGCGATTTAGAGACTATGAAGGGACATGCAGAAAAGAATCCCAGAAACCCCCAAGAATAATTTGACATTAAACCTCAATCCTAAACCCTAAACCTTAACCCTGACCCTAAACAATAAACCTACGTTATTTTAAACTTATAGTAGGTAATGTCTGAGAACTGGGGCCCTCGGCCCTGCTAAGTCTGAGCCCTTCCAAGAGAGTTTAGCTAAGGAATGGCCCTTAAAGAAATTAGGGTTTATTGTTTAGGGCTTGGGGTTTGATTGTTCGTAATTTAAGGAATGCTCCTTCAGCCCTAGCGAATTATTCTTGTCATTGAAGACATACTCCTTCAATCACGTAGGTGCTTCTTCTTGTGTTTCGAAGGTATGTTCTGTTGAAAACCATGTGTTTGTTGCTATGCTTCAAGGTGTATATACTCCTTGAGCCCTACAGACATTCTTCTTATGGTTGCAGATCTATTCCTGAACAAAGCCTGAGCCCTAAACCTTAAACCCTAAACCCGAAACCCCAAACCGTCACCCTAAACCCTAAACCTAAAGCTATTGCTTGGAAGATCTGGCTTTGCGGCATGCCAGGGCTTCACGGTTTCGAAGATTGAGGGCCTTGGTGCCTGAATTGCACAGTTTGCTTTTGGGAGTTTCGGGTTTAGGGTTTGGGATGTAGGGTTTTAAACCCTAAACCCTAAACCCTAAACCCTAAACCCGACTTAGGGTTGAACCCGAAACCCCTGAACCCTGAGATCCAGTGGCCGAACGCCAGCCCGCCGCGCCCCGCCGCCAGCAGCGCCGCCGCGGACGCCGCAGCACGGAACCGTGGGCGCACCATGGCACCCGGGTTTAGGGTTTAGGGTTTAGGGTTTAGGGTTTAGGGTTTAGGGTTCAGGGTTTAGGGTTTAGGCTTTAGGGTTTAGGGTTTAGGGTTTAGGGTTCGGGGCTTCAGGTTTAGGTTTAGAACGTTGTTTCAAGGTTTTGGGACTGTTAGGGTTGAGCTGTTCGGGCTTAGGGTGTTTAGGGTTTGCCGGTGTTTAGGAAGTGTAGGGGTTGTAGCGTTTCGGGACTGTCAGGGCTTAGTTCGAGGTTTAGGGTTTCGGGCTCGGGGGTTCTGGGCATTGGGGGGACTTCAGGGCGTTTAGGGTTTAGGGGTTTAGGGTTTCGGGTTTAGGGTTTAGGGTGTAGGGGTTTAGGGTTTAGGGTAACTTGTGGGGTTGATTTCGGGAACACACCCCCTGCCACAAAGGGAACAAAGACCTTACTGGAGACCCAAAAAGACTTTAGGGTTTAGGGCTGCGGGGTTTAGGGTTCAGGGTTTAGGGTTTAGGGTTCAGGGTTTGGGGTTTAGGGTTTAGGGCTGCGGGGTTTAGGGTTGAGGGGTTGAAGGGCTAAGGGTGTCTCTCTGAATTTCTTTCAGATTTGTAAAGTCGGGGCCCAGGCTGGGTTTAGGCGGCTTACATACCTGAATACACACCTGAAGCGCCAAACCAGGAGAGCAACTTATCCCCAAACCCCGAATAAACTGCCATGGTTTAGGGTTTAGGGTTTAGGGTTTAGGGTTTCGAGTTTAGGGTTTAGGGTTGAAACTTCTCCGCCTGGACCGCAAGGGCCGCCGCCACAGGCCCAGATTCTGGCAGCAGAGCTTCCACGGTTAAGGGTTTAGGGTTTAGGGGTCTAGGTTTAGGGTTTAGGGGTTTAGGGGTTTAGGGGTTTAGGGGTTTAGGGGTTTAGGGGTTTAGGGGTTTAGGGGTTTAGGGGTTTAGGGGTTTAGGGGTTTAGGGGTTTAGGGGTTTAGGGGTTTAGGGGTTTAGGGGTTTAGAGGTTTAGGGGTTTAGGGGTTTAGGGGTTTAGGGGTTTAGGGGTTTAGGGGTTTAGGGGTTGAGGGTTTAGGGTTTAGGAGTTTAGGGGTTTAGGGTTTAGGGTTTAGGGTTTAGGGTTTAGGGTTTAGGGTTTAGGGTTTAGGGTTTAGGGTTTAGGGTTAAGGGTTAAGGGTCAAGGGTTTAGGGGTTCAGGGTTTAGGGCTTAGGGTTTCGGGAGTTTCGGGTTTAGGGTTTCGGCATGTGCTGGGTACGTGAGGATAGAGCTTCGGGGTGTTAGGGCTGAGGGTTGTGGTCTTCGCGCAGGGGCTGCTGCAGTTCGGGGTACCCGAATTGAACTCGCGCTATCTGTGACCTAGATCCTAAACCCACCATGAGCCACAGCGGAAACCCAGATCCACGTGAGTTAACCGCTAGGGAGAGGGGGGAAGGTGGGGGAGAGGGGGGAGGGGGGAGGGGGGGAGGGGGAGGGGGGGGAGGGGGAGGGGGGGAGGGTGAGGGTGCGGGGGAGGGGAGAGGGGGAGGGGGGTG